AAGGATTAAGAGTCAAGAACGGTACAATGAATCGTCTTCTTTCTCTAATAATTTAATGAAATGTTAACGCTTCCAAGCTGGAGGGGGGGGGGGGGGACTGAATTCAGACAAGGATTGAGAGTCGAGAACGCTACAACGAATCGTCTTCTTTCTTTAATAATTAAATGAAATGTCAAAGCTTCCGCGATGGAGGGGGGGGGGGGTTGAATTCAGACAAGGATTAAGAGTCGAGAACGGTACAACGAATCATCTTCTTACTCTAATAATATTTAATGAAAATGTAAAAGCTTCCACGCTTCACCCTGGAGGGGGGGGGGGGGACAGAATTCAGACAAAGATTAATAATCGAGAACAGTACAACGAATCGTCTTCTTTCTCTAATAATTTAATGAAATGTTAACGCTTCCAAGCTGGAGGGGGGGGGGGGGGAAACTGAATTCAGACAAGGATTAAGAGTCAAGAACCGTACAATGAATCGTCTTCTTTCTCTAATAATTTAATAAAACGTCAAAGCTTCCGCGCGGGACGGGGGGGGGGGGGGGGGGGTACTGATTTCAGACAAGGATTAAGAGTCAAGAAGGGTACAACGAATCGTCTTCTTTCTCTAATAATTAATGTCAAAGCCTCCACGCGGGACTGGGGGGGGGGGGGCGGGCTGAATTCAGACAAGGATTAAGAGTCAAGAACGCTACAACGAATCGTCTTCTTTCTCTAATAATTAAATGTAATGTTAAAGCTTCCGAGCTGGAGGGGGGGGGGGGGGGACTGAATTCAGACAAGGATTAATAGTCGAGAACGCTACAACGAATCGTCTTCTTTCTCTAATAATTTAATTAAATGTAAAAGCTTCCACGCTTCGCCCTGGAGGGGGGGGGGGGGCAGGAACTAAATTCAGGCAAAGATTAATAATCGAGAACGGTATAACGAATCGTCTTCTTTCTCTAGTAATTTAATGAATATCAAAGCTTCCACGCTTCGCCCTGGAGGGGGGGGGGGGGGGGGGACTGAATTAATAGTCGAGAAAGGTACAACGAATCGTCTTCTTTCTCTAGTAATTTAAGGAAATGTCATGCTTCCGCGCGGGACGGGGGGGGGGGGGGGGTGAATTCAGACAAGGATTAAGAGTCGAGAATGGTTATATGAATCTGTCTTCTTTCTCTAATAATTTAATGAAATGTTAACGCTTCCAAGCTGGAGGGGGGGGGGGTGGGGGAACTGAATTCAGACAAGGATTGAGAGTCGAGAACGCTACAACGAATCGTCTTCTTTCTCTAATAATTTAATGACATGTCAAAGTTTCCGCGCGGGAGGGGGGGGGGGGGTCTGCATTCAGACAAGGACTAAGAGTCAAGATCGGAACAACGAATCGTCTTCTTTCACTAATAATGTAATTAAATGTCAAAGCTTCTGCGCGAGAGGGAGGTGGGGGGGGGGGGCTGAATTCAGACAAGGATTAAGAGTCAAGATCGGAACAACGAATCGTCTTCTTTCACTAATAATGTAATTAAATGTCAAAGCTTCTGCGCGGGAGGGAGGGGGGGGGGGGGACTAAATTCAGGCAAGGATTGGGTGTCGAGAAAGGTACAATGAATCGTCTTCTTTCTCTAATAATTTAATGAATACTTATTGTCACTAAACAGAGATCCATATTCGACTATTCATTAAAATACTGCAGAAAAGGGATCTAATTCTAAAATCACGACTGAGATAATTCGCTATCATGACTGGTATCGTGATCTGAGCATTGCGAACTAATGACTCCTCAATCGTATCGATCATAAAAAATTTAAATAAAATTGCTGAATTTTAGAATCAAATATTTGTATCATTGCTTCAATTTACGAAAAAATAAACATGATAAGTAGGGCCTATTTCAAACAGGCACATCACAACCACACAAACAAGCAACAAAATAGGCCTACGCCGCGAATAGATCGATGAGCTCGAAATGACTCTAGACAAGATTAGTTTCGCATTATTACGATTAGAATTATTTTATAAAAAGAATCATTAGGTATTAAATAAATAACTTGATACTTTATCGTCTTTATTAACAATTGATTTTCACATCTGTCCCAATTTTGACTCTCGTAGACTTCCCCCATCAATCTATTTTCTCGCTCCCTCCCTCCCTCCATCTTCCAAGTGTACCCCTTCCTCTCCCTCTCCCTCTCTCTTGTCTCCATCTTTCCTCATGTTTGTTTATCAACACCCAAGGAATTGCGCGCAGGGCCTTTGTTCAAACAAAGTTCACATGTTCAAATGGGCGGCATTTTGTCTCCTCTCATTCAAATCTCAAAATAGAACTCCAGTTCAGAATTGCGCAATATACCTCTCAGCCAAACATAAACAAAGGTTTAGATTTTAATGGGTCAAGATTTACGTGCCGATACGTCTTTTTTACACGAGGTCGTGGACAGAATTGAGGTTAGATTTATCATGGAATGTGTTGATAAAACCCAAGCAATCTATATTTTGCATACTTAGATCTATAGCTTGAAATTAAATTGTGAGCAAATAAACTTTTCTATTGTAAAACCCATCGATCTTTTGCTTGGAATTGAAACTAATCAGGAATCATCTCAATCACATTGCTCTGCAATTCCAACGCTAGCTAGCTCGCTCACTCCATTCGGCTTGCGCCTATATTACACCATGCGCGGAGCTAGCCAACGTGGCTAGCGAGTACTAGCGGCTCACTTGTATCTTCAGCTAGCGCATCCTTTTATGATTGCTGCGCATGTGCGCATTGACATTCGTCCTCCTGCGTCGCGATGATTTCAATTTAATAATTAAATTTGGAGACTTGCAGTCAGGCAAAGTGCGCGTACCAAATTCGTCCTCTTGCGTCGCGACGATTTCAATTTAACAATTATATTTGGAGACAGCAGTCAGGCAAAGTGCGCGTACCAAATCAGCGCCGAGCGTTCCATGCGGGATCCTGCATCGGAACGACAGCAATAATAAATATCTCATGCCTAATTAGCCTGCTATTTCCCAAACAGCAGGCTATTTTGGAAACAAGACCAAGATTTCTCTGGATATTTTCTTGACCGAATAGCCCACTAATTGCGACTGCGAGCAAATTAGTTGGCTAACTTGAGATCGGGCTAGTTGTAATAGCGGGTTATTTTGCAACTTTGGTCTGATGAGGACAGTCCTAATGTAATATTTTGAAGCTTTTGGCTATTATCTAATTGGGGAGGAGCAAAATGGATTTAAATCACTCGCATGAATTAACACTCAACACTTAACACTGGGCTAGAGAGCAATTCTTGAGCAGACATTTAATGAGCGTGAAATTGACTTGTGCAACCATTCATATGGGATTCGTTACAAAAACACATTTTATGCAAAATATCCAGAAATGGTTAAAAAAAACTGGGGTGTTTAACAAAGATTTAGATTGACTTAAGTTGGAGTTAAGGTATGGCAGGCCATTCATGCCACTGGTTGCTCTCACCATTGGTCTCTCAAGGGACATCACAAATCTACAGAATTTACATTTTTGATAGATCATTGTTGAAGAAAAAAAGTTATACATTGTAAACTTAAGTTATATTCAAGACTTGGACTTAGATACTTTGGTATGTGATTTATGCCCTCAAAAATTCTTTCACTAGATGTAAAATTAGAGGGGGGGAATTTTTTTTAATATAAATATTTACATGTATTCTTGATTTAGTCTATCAATTTTAGAATAAACATTTTTTAAATTATAATTTAGCAGTCCATACCAAAGTATGTACATACGTCATCACATGTATGTACTGTAAAAAAATAAGATCAACATCGGCTTTCTAAATTTAAGTTTCACTTTCAAAGTTCAACAACCATATCCATAACCCTCTCTACATGTACCGGTAATAAAAAAAAAATGTATTTATGGTATGAAATAAACTTTCTGTTTAGATAAATCAAAAGGAAATCAAGAAAAATGTGCCAAATCATGCCAAATGGGTTGCACAATTGTTACCAAAGACAACGGTTATTCATGTAAAATCTTCTGTGTTGATAATGTATATGCTTGTGTATTCCATTAAATATGGGTACATGTACATACAGAACGTGTATAGTTAATGTACATTTACATATAGTCTATTAAAGCTCTGTCAGTATACCGATACACCTTGTATGAGTACCGGGTAGGTGAAACATTCAAACTGATTTGAGGAAATCATTCCTTCGCTATACTGATCTGGTCGTTATGACATTTTCATATCGGCTTAAAAATCTCACATTGGTTAAAAATTGGAATAATGAACAATTAAATTAACCATTTGCTATAATTTATGAATTAGCAGTAATCTTTGTCAATAGGAGGAGAGTGTATTCACATGAAACAACTCCCTCAAAGAGTATCAAAATTTGGCAGAAGCTGTACGTTGCTGTAGTGGCGATATCCGATACTACCGTTAGCTTTGAATGGAGACATCAAACTGGGTATATCCAGGATGTCCCATTTGACGTCATGCAATATCCATTTATATCATGTTGGAAGTATTTTGTGTCACTTGAGCCATCCGTGGCTTATCCTTTCACAGGAATTTGATGATGTGAGATGTACTGTAATGCTTCATACCCACGCCAGGGGTATATGGTCTTGTACACTTAGGAATAAAAAATTTCCGCATTATCTGCGTTTGGAATCTCAAAGGTTCAGTTTGTACCCCTTTAAAAAAAGTTAGCGAGGAGACCTCTATGCTTCTTTCTCTATAAAAGAATTCATACACATGTGTACTACTTTTATTCATCCTTCATTTTCTGCCATCTGTAACAAACTGTAATTTTGTAACGTAACATAGCGTAACATACTGATGTAATTTTGTACTGAATAATATTGTGTAATCGTTGTGCTGTCGTCCCGGCTTTTATTGCTTAAAGGACATTGCTTCGCTTAATGGCTGCTGGGACAACAGCACAACAGCACCTACATGTAGAAACAGTGTATGAGGCGCGTTATAAATGTGATCTATTATTATTATTATTATCTGCCACAGGTTAGCATTGAGATGACCGAACCGCGATGCCGTTGATCAAGCGTGAGGTCGAGCCTGTCCTGGTCAGCCGAGTGGACATCGGCTCGGAGATCCAGAATGAGTTGGAGTGCGTCACCAACTACACGCTGGCCAGCATCATCCGTCAGCTGAGCAACTTGGGCAAGCATGCAGAGGATATCTTTGGCGAGCTGTACAGGGAGGCCATGTTCCTCTCTGGGAGGGCCAACACCCTGCAGGATCGCATCGACAAGCTGTCCGACAAGGTCACCAAGCTGGATGCCACGAGGGATCAAGGTGAGTTTGGATGCTGCAGTACTTACGGTCAGGGATGTTGACGGGCCTGTTTTCATCAGCTCAAGATTGCCAAATATCCCGCTATTTGAACTATCCCGATGGCACATTATCCAGTTGATTTGCGTCTTCATCATCCCAAGATATCTTGGGCTAGTTTGCAAGATGTCCCACTATTTGTCCGATGTGTCTTCACCAGCCCGAAGATCTGCACTATGCGCAAATGCTGAGCAAAATATTGAGTTTCAAGTTTCGAGGTCAAGCCTCGAGCTGAAGAAGACGCGATTTGTGACTTCAGGATCATTTCCCAAATCAGAAAAGCAGGCTATTTGGCAATCTCGAGCTGATGAGGACAGGCCTGATGAGAAACTAATCCAGGGCCCCATCTTATAAAGAGTTAATATTTATTGCAATTTATCTACGTACATGTAGAGATAGGAGACTGCAAACTTGCGATTGATTGGAGGATTTCAGCTTGATTTGGATCAATCACAAGTTCACAACTCTTAAGATGAGATCCAGGTCATTTATTTTGTTTCTCAAGATTTTTCAATGAGAAACACAACTTTGAAATACGTACAAAATTAATATCAAACAGGAGTGTGCATCATGGGGCCATTTAACATGCAACAAAATTCATTTGTAGATTTCCAGGTGCAGAGGTCAAGGTGAAAGGGCAGAGATACATTTATCACCATTCCTGATTTGGGAGTTATCACCCAGCATGTTACTCTAACCTCCTACCCTTTTGGCCGATACTGTGTCCTCCCAATTTGCCACAAAATTTACCCATATTTTCGGCTTTGATCTCTGCACAAAACTGCTTCCTTATTTGCAATTTTTTAAACGTTAGCTTCTCCTAGACTTCAATATCATAGTGTGGTACGGTATGTCACTGAAACAGCTTCCGTAGGATTTTTGTGCCAATGTCAATTTTTTATTTTTTTGCATTTTTGGATTCATTGGGGTCCAAGCTATCAGAAATTGATGGGGTTCAAATTTTTCCGAAGACACCAAATTTACCTATTGCGCATTATATGCATTTTGGCGCCCAATATGGACCCCCCCTGGAAATGAAGGAGGAGTCTGAAAATTTGAACCCCATCATTTTTGGCCAATTGGGACCCTTTTGAAGCCAAAACAGCAACAACAAAAAATCAACTTTGGCAAAAAAATCCTACAGGATTACATACCATACCGCACTATCATAACGTGAGCACAAAAAAAAAGAAACTGATTATAAGATTTTATTTTCAATAATAGTCATAATAATCTATGTTTTGTCTGTACCCATTATACAATACACATGTAGTTTCAATCTGAGAGATTCCATGCTCATGAAAGGTGACCCTGCATCAGTGTTTAGAGTTTTAAAAACTACTCCCTGCCATCGAAAATTGGAATGAAAGTAGCCTAATTTCAGAAACTTATCCTTGTCAAAGTTGCTTACAAGTGTTGTCTCGGTCTTCGGAGTGCACACTTTTGGGAGGTTTCAGGCTGTATATGACATATTTCTCCAATCCATACCTGACAAAAAAACGTTGAAGGGTCAGTTTTATGTTTCATCCTTCTCCTCACCCGCCTCCTTGGATGCCTGAAGGCTACCCTGGGTGGTGTCACTACATGTTGATGGGGTGTTCGCACTATGGTTGAAAATTTCACCCACCTCCAAATACAATGTCATCATTATTCACTAGATAACTTTATCTTCTTCTTTCCATTGTTTTCGAAAGCTAACTGACTTTGAGCTATAATTTGTGGAACTGTGCACAAATTATAGTCGTATGCAAACTACCTGTATGGTATTAAAATCACCATACTGTTAATTGCTGGAATCTGGAAAGCCAGACATGACCCAAACAGTACTCAATTTTCTTTCACACTCTGACAGTCTTATCCTAAATTTTTAATTAATAACACTTGTATAATATATTGAATAGCGTATGGCTTGTTTAGGTCAATATCTGATCTAATTTAATTTGTTACAAAAAGCAGAGCCCCACAGTGATCTGGATTGACATGCCCTACGGTCAAGACCACGGTCAAGACCATGGTCAAGCCTTTAAGAAGCGCTGTATTAGGCAAAAAGGGTCATAATTTCCAGAAGCTGTGCTTGGATGTCAGCAAATAGGGGGTCATTTTCGCCTCGTCACATGATCATGCGTTACCCCTCCCTTGAATATGAAGTGAAACCACTGGGAGTCTCTCGGCTACAAGATAGAAGTTTTCATCTTGTTCGTTAACTTGAGGACGATGACCTGATTATCACAGACGCCTCTGGAGTCTGTGCTCTCGATTTAATGAAAACAAGGCTGGTTCCTTTAGTTTCAGGGGTGTATGAACTTGTAGGCAGCCATGTGAAAAAGGTCATGTTACTTGGCAAGAATGCGTTCATATTGGAAGATAATTAACACATTAATTTACATGCAAATCCTCTCAAATCATCGCCCAGTCCGATGAGTTTTCTTAAGCTGCCTACAAGCTAATAAGTTTAAAACTTATATCATATCCTGCTTGAGGAGACTGACGTGATTATCTCAGATATCCTTGGAGTCTCTTGGCTCTCCTGGTTCTCTTCGCTGCTTAGAAGTTTCAACTCGTGTCGGGCTTCGGGACACCGACCCGATTATCACAGACACCATTCCCTGCCTGGAGCCAGGGTTCACAGTTTAATGAAAAGCAGGCTCGTGTGTTTGGTTCGGTGGTTTACATGAGAAGTTGTAGAAGTTTATGAACAAGTCACCATGGGAGAATGGTCACATCATACTACCATACAGTGTGTGTTCACACGCAAAGATATATCATACTGCCAGTCTGCAAGCGCAGACTCCAAATTTACAACTTTACCACAATTCCCAAAGCCTTGAGCAGAGCCTAGATCTGCCAAATTCTGGCTTTACATTAATAAGTTCAGAGCCTTCATGTATTGTAGTCTCATTTTGCAGACACTGTTATGCATGATGAATGACAAGGGTTTATGCCTGCAAACTATCCCTTAACATTTACTCATGAATGCAAAGAAATCGGAAACCTTCTTACCGATTGAACTTTAAAAGTATGATTCCTCAAGTTGGTCCTAAGATCAGATTATTTAGTGATTTTAATAATTTATTATTATTATCATCATTTTAAGTGGTGTCATCCATTTACACTTGCTAACAAAGCTTTAAGTGTACCCGTCACTTAAAAAATAAATTGTGTACATCTACATTGTAGATAGAATATATAAAATTATCCTTACAAAAACTTTATCCAGCATTCTATGGGCTATAAAGAGATATGGAGAACCGAAGAAAAACAAAAAAAAAAAACACGGAAACCAGGTCAGACTTGGGTTCCATATGAGCCCTATTTTATGCGAGCGCATATGAATGCATCAAGTACGGTAGTTTTTCCTTACAAATTGCTTTTATGTTAATTTAGAACTGTATTTAAACCGTCAAAATATCTTTGCAGAAGTACTGTTAAAAGCTCAAAGTATAACGGCATGGAATTACTACCATACAGTGTACAGAACAAGAGATTTGTTTGGGGAGTGGTACACTAAAAACACAACTTTGATATTGATACAAACTACATGTACATGTACATACACTTGTATTTCAATCACTTCAAACTGTTGCACATGCTTAATAGTAGGATTACAGTAGGATTAGACAATCCATGTCTCCCCTGTACACATACAGGGCACAAATTTATAGAGCCTGGTATTGTGCATCTGTGCCTTACTTCAAATGTATTTAATTAGATGGGCACCAACCAAACTTGCGTCATTAGGTCTGTCCTCACCAGCTCGAGATTGCCAAATGGCCCACTTTTTCTGATTTGGGAAATAATCCTGAAGTTACAAATCGCCTCTTCATCAGCTCGAGACTTGACTTCTAAACTTGAAACTCGAGCTTGGGGAATTAGCTTAGTGCGAGTCTTCGGGCTGGTGAAGGAGCACCTGACAAATAGCGGGGCATCTTGCCAAATAGCGTGATATTTAGCAAACTAGCCCAAAATATCTTGGGATGATTATCTTGACCAATTATCCCGCTAATTGCAACTTCGGGCTGATGAGGACGCAAATTAATTGGATAATTTGCGATCAGGATAGTTCAAATAGCGGGACATTTGGCAATCTCGAGCTGATGAGGATAGGCCTATTGACAGTTGAGGAAGACATCGCTCTTGGTATTACCTTTCTTGAGTCCAGGAAATAGGATCTCATCTCCAGCTCAAGAGTGCCGTTCTTATTTACACATGGCTGCACCCCTTAAGATTGAAAAGCTCTAATTTATTTCCTGGTGACTGACTTTTTAAACTCTCTTTAAGGGCAACCATTTGTAGCGTAGTTTGCAGGAATGCACCAACCCTTGTCAGTTGCAGCGCATACCTGTACATGTAAATAGTGTCTGAAGTAAAAGACTACAGAGACTGCACAGCCTACTAGTGCACCCCATAGGCTTTGTACTACAAGTAATACTATTAATGTACACTGTTTCATGAAATTATGAGAAACCTTAAAATTCCATGACTTTCTTTCTTTGTTTGTCCAATTTTGAAGAAATTTTCACCTATTTTGCTTATTTGTTTTGTTCAATTTATTCAATTCAACTTGGAAATGGGTTTGACTTGCCCTTTAAGTAGCTGGCAAATATTACTACTCAGATATATTCATACCGTAATTAGATTTGTTTATTTTTAGAACTGAGAGAAAAAAATCTTTACAAGGCACTTGCTTCGATTGATCGTCATGTGTATATATCTGTGCTTCCCTCGGTCTTGAATAGGCCAAGTTGTGCCCACTCAATGCCAAAAAATAAATTCTAGTTTCGATAACTTCCAGTCTAGCTTGGTATTTGTATCTACAATGTATTTTCATTTATTTAACTTGCTCAATATGTATACAGAAAATAATCAAAATCAAAGCAATATAACAAAATGGAGGATATTACATAATGCATGTACAGTACAACAGGAAATGATTTTATAAAAATTGCAATAGTTTTTTTTTACAT